ATATAAAAGCCTTTCCTATCACCTTTGCTCAATTTAATGCATCCTTTCTAAATAAAAGTACTCATTTGTTTAAAAAAATCTATCCCATACTTCTACACGGTAGTGTACATTAAGGCAAACATAGGTTTGTGCTTTATCATAGTAGTTGCAGTGATAAAACTCACCCTGCCATCCTTATCCACGCCTGCTATCTGTCCTGTGGCGATACGGATCTTATCTGGATGAACAGCAAGACTACAAGAGAAACAGACAGAGAAAGCTGAATATTCACTGATCAACACTGCTGAAGTCCTACTGAGGTGAATATGGCTTTCGTTTGTGATCACTAATATGTCATCCAGTAAATATACATGCTCTGCCTACCAAATTATTGTTTAGAGATCAACCAATAAGGATTTTCACTGGCTTGTCTGTCCATATACTGATATCTAGAGACCAGTATGAATTCCATTATATAAATATTTTACACAGTATTTAAAAGTCTACAGGAACAGGTATGTTCAGCATCATCACTGCTAACAATGCTAGCAATTACAAAGCCTCAGGAAAACAAAACTAAACGTGAATTCACAATGACAGCCATTCACAAAGGAAAAACGGCAACATCTTTCAATGAAATGTTCAGTGAGTTAGTTATTTAATCACTGTCAGTGTCAATGTCCCATATGACGAATGATAAGACCAATAAATAACTGCATGCCCCCAATAACACAGTATGTGTTTTCATCAATCTCACCATTTGACACAGTCAGTGTGTCCTAAATAGTGCCGCTGTGTCCTCTCCTCATAGTTGAAGAGCACAACCACCGAGGCGATGAAATACACAATCTCCCCGGTAGGTAGCAAGTACACATTTGCACGGCAGTCACGTCCCCTGTAGCCATATCTATCAAGGAGTCAATGGAAAATAACAGTATACCAAAAACAACAAAATATATGTAATATATAGTCAACGCTTTACATAAACCATCATAATGTTGTAATCCTTAATTCACAGAATCTCAGCAAGTAAATTAAATTGAATTGGCCATTAATTAACAACCTTAGTTAATATTTTATAATTTTCTTGCCATAAAAGTTTTAATCCATTTTAAAACCACCATTGTAAAATACAATACATGCAAAGCATGCTAGAAAGGATACACCCACTCCAGTTTGAGTCTCTCTGGGGGAAGTTCGGTCCGGACATCATCGTAATTCTCCACGTCCGATGGGATAAACATTGTGATGGGTCGTCCTCGCATGAACATTTTAATATATTCACCCTCTGTGGAGAGATTTGATGAAGGAAATATATTCTAAGAAAATACCAGAAAAAAAATAGCAACTACTGCCAATGAAACGTATATATCTCAAACAAAACCCATCTTTGTTTCTGTGAAATATATCATGAAGTTATCTGAAATTTGGTAGTGAACATGGTCTTTCAGAACAGACTGTGTGAGTTTGTTCATTTTAGCAAGATTTAACAAACACATAGCATATATTTTAGCTTCTAGCATTGCTCCTTCTTACTTAAGAGTTAGTTTTTAAATACTATACATTTCTAAAACGTTTCTAAATGAAGCTCTTTGATGGAGTTACTAAAGCTCATGCTTTGAACCCATTCATAAACCCAAGCAAATCAAATGTGAAGCTCTAAGTGGCGTGCAGAAGGGCCAGAGCAATGACAATGCCCAAATCGAACTGTGATTCAATAAAGAAAAGTGTAAAGAAGAAACCTAAAGGTGGTGAAAACAAAAATGGGCAGAGACAGAACATTCCTCACTGATACCAATATTCTTAAAGGGATAGTTCAGCCAAAAATGAAAATTCTGTCATCATTTACTCATGCTCATGTTGTTCCAAACCTGAAAAAATGTGAGAAATGTCTGCGTGTGTGTTTTATAATAATACAATATTTATGTTTCTCAGCAGAAAGTAAGTCATCAGGTTTGGGATGAAATGAGGGTAAGTAAATGATGACCGAATTTTCATTTTTGGCTGAACTATCCCAGCAATATGCTTATTGAATTAATTAAGGTATAAAGGTGAATCTTAACTTGTCCAGGCCAGTACGAATTATATGATTTTTTTTTTTATTTTTATGAATGATAAATAATATACATTTTTTATGAATTATTTTTTTGTGTGTGGAAAAAACCTAAACAAAACAATATTTTAGGACCATTAAGACCTTTTGCATTTTGTGATTATTTCAATGAAAATTAAGTAAATTTTTTATATAAATCCCCCCGCATACTCTATCGTAATGAGAATGAGACTATTTAGCATTATCGTATAAAAAGCTTAGCTGTCATAAAAATAATGTTACAATGGATAGTCAATAAATATGAATTTCAAAATGCACTTTCTTGTTTCTTTCTTTCTTTTGATTTTGCAGTGAAATATGAGCTAGATATGTTCATGACGGGGTTTAGTGAGATTTAGCCATAAAGCTGTTCTGGTATTTTTACTTTAGGACAAACACATTCCTCTGCTAATGAGTTACTGGTGGTGAATCTACAGTAAGTCATCTATTTACACCATCTGAATTGCGAGAAGAAATGAACAAGCGAGATGTGTGTTTATCGACATGCCTGTAAGCTGGGAGGAAATCCACTTACTGTTGATTCCTCCAGAAATGTAATTAAGTTTTTAAGGAGCAAGAGCGGCAGAGAGATAGAGAGACAGAAGAAAAGTGGAAGAAGTGACTGACCATTGATCTTTCAGATAGATCGATCAACATGTTAAGAGAATTAAAGCGGGATTAGTGCCAGAAACACTTATACACTTCCAACCTGAAGCGGGCAAGGGAGGGGTAAAAAAAACGCTTTCGGCGGCTTTCGGCCCTGTAGAGAGAGGCCTTACCTTGACTGTTTTTTTCACGGGTTGACATTTTAGCTGGGTACGGGACAGAAATAATAATTTCTCAAAAAACAAACACAGACTGACAGACAAGGAACAGTTTTATTGATGTATGGTAAGAGAGGCCTGTCAACAGTTTTAAGGTGGGTGTGATCATTAGAAAAGTCTGGAAGAACAAATAAGGAACCACAAGACACAGGAATGCAGTTTGTGTGTGTCTTTGCCAAGATTAAAATGACTTGAGAGATGGAGGTGGTGCTCACACCTGTTCTGTTCTCAGCCCAGGGCTAAATCCAGATTCAGGATAAGGTTGTTCCAGGGCACACTCAGCCTGTGACCACCGGCATGAGATCCGTGCTAACAGTATTTTTCAGTGTTACCTCTAATCTTGCCCTGAGGCAAAGCCAAGTGACAATATGCTAGCTTTTAATTACAGCTATGAAATGCAAGTTGGCTACAGGGCACAGCTTAAATGATTTTACAAATGAGTATTTGTATTTATCTAAAGTGCACAGAAGGTCTGACATATTGCACGAGGCACCAGTTTTGCTTGAACCACTGATACAGGAAATGAGAGGAGCACATGAGAAAAAGATGAAGTTGAAACAATAGATCACGTAAAGGCAAAATGAGACTTTACCTTGGCTGATGACTGGATCTCGGTGTCTGAAGAGGAAATGGAAAGAAAATCAAATACTGTTAACATGAGACAAATAGTGAGTTCCAAAAATGGTATGTTTGTTCAACTACAGGAATGTCTTAAAGGAACCGTTCCAAAATGAAAATTCATTTTATTGTCATCATTTGCTCACTCCTTAATATTATATTAACATATACAGTATATACAGTGGGTACGGAAAGTATTCAGACCCCCTTAAATTTTTCACTCTTTGTTATATTGCAGCCATTTGCTAAAA